AAAATTTTTTATTTTTTTTTTTTTTTTTAAAAAAAAAAAATATGACTTTTTTAAATTAACAATAAAAAAAAAAAAAAAAAAAAGAAGAGGAAACTATACTTTTAACAAAGAGCACAAGACATACTCACCAATGGATCCGATGCAAAAAACCGACGTATTTCATTGGGTTTTTTTTTTTTTGTTATTATGTTTTTCACTAATAACAAGAGTTATTCTCTAAGTTTTGTTTTTACTCTCTAATTGTTGACATAGTTTCCGTTAAATTTTCTTCTCTTCATATAATCACTATTAATATTCACTTATAATTTTATTTATTCTTGTTTAGAGATCTTATTCATGTCTATGATAGTGAAAAATCTCATCAATTTGCTGACTATTGTTTAAAAACTTTATTATTATGTTTTTTATGGTATTCATGTTGTTATCTAATGATACGTTCTTTAAGTATTTTAAAACCAGCTGAAACTATTACATTATATTCGATAACAGTGACAAGTAGACAAGTATTAGGTTGGATTGCATTACATGAACAATTTATTGGAAATAAAGTAAAAAAATAAAATAAAATAATAAAAATTTTTTATTTTAAATCATTTTGTTACTTTTTTTTTATATTTTTATTTTAACTTTTTAGATAATTGCTCATATTGTATCATGTACTGCTATTTTATTTGTTTTACATGGTGATGGTTTTCGATTTAATATATTTCTACTTGGTAGTGTAATGGCAACAAGTTCTGGTGCATTAAAAACTATATTTGATGTTTGTATATATATCATATGATTAAATTATTTATTTTCATTAACATATGTCTTTTTTTTTCGTTATGTAAAGGTTATTCTCAAAGGTATAATTAAAGATTTAACTAATCATAAATTAATATTATTAATGACAAGTATTTGTCTGTTTGGTACACTTTTATTTTGGCCATTTTTATTAATAACACATTTTTCAAATATCGAACCATTTGGACTATATGATGTGAATATTTATACATGCATCGGATTAACGATAACAGCATTGGGTATTAATCAATTATCAAATATACAAACAAATTTAAATATTATTTTCTAATTTTCTTTTGTTCATTTAGTATTTAATTTATTAACAATCACAATTCCTCTAGTATATACAGAATTTTCAATTGTTGCTTGTCTACTTATTGTCATACCAGCTATTGGATGTAAGATTCTTAAATTAAATTAAATATATTTTTTATCTTATAACTCTGTTGTTGTTGTTTTTTATGTATTTTTATAGTGATTGATCGATACTACTATTTAATTCATTATAATGGTTTGTTTATAGCTGCCATGATATTTAGTTTTATTGGAATAGCCATTGCTCTGTTACCAAAAACATTATTTTTACATTCATCTAAGAAAAAAAAGCAACAACATCAACAAGGAAATATATCGGCATTTGAAGAAATAAGAGCACAGAGACGAATAAGAAATTATAATTTATATAATGAAGGCAAAACATAAATTTCAAATTATATGAAATTTACACCATATCGTATGATACAATTTGTTACTAGTTTCAATACTAAAGAATTGTTAATAATGTGAACAAAGAGAAACGGAAACCTGAAAATGTAAGTCATACTCATTTCATTGTATCGTGTATAAAAATTCTATTCAATATTCAACCAAAGCATTTGAAACTTAATGATTAGATGAGGATATTGAATACTTATAACACCGAAAGAATTTTAAATTCATCATTTTTATAAAACAATTTAGTAGAAAATTCTAAAGACCAGAAGACGTTTTTACTTCTCTAATCTGTTAACATGTAAACGAGGTAAAGTAGAATATTTACTGAAAGTTTCGAGTGCTTTGGTTAAATTTCGAATGACTCACTAGAATTAGGGTATTTTTTCATGTTTTTTTTTTCGGAAAACAAACCATTCTCACAAGATATAGAATAGTCAATAACATTTGTTTAATTTTGTTTTTGACGTCCTTCTCATACGTCCAAAGTCGATTCTAGAGCTTATGCGAAAAGTATTGCTGTGTGATAACGATTGAAGAAAAACGTAAAACATAACGGTTTTCCAAATATCTCTAGAGATTTCATGTTTCAAAACTTATCTTTGTACAGAAAGATGCATCTAACTCTTGTGTACATAACTGTAAAAGTTACAGCTATCCAGCTATGATCGATAGGAGAAAATATTCAAAAAACGAACAAGAAGTCTATTAATATTTAGAAGGAACTTTCTCAACTAGATCTTAAACTGCTTGAGTTACATATGCGAAAAAGTTTTCGAATCGAACAAACAAGGTTAGACAGAGTTGAATGTCTTTCATTCCATGACTAATCGCTTCTAGTCAAAGTTTTCACGGCAATGATAAATGGAAACTTTTCCAAAAATCTTCCATTGATTTTGAAAACTTTTCATGTCATTCAAGTAGTTTCTAAAATCTAACAGAATCAGAAATAGGTTATTCGGAAGCTCATAATGAATCTGCAGAGGCCAACTTCAGATATCGTTACACGAAAGCCCTAGCTGTCGCCAAGGATATCATTTATATTTGACCAGTGTCAAAAATCACTAATAAAAACCTGTTTTTCAACCCAAAAGCAATACGATACCTAGAGAAGTCCCTTCGTTAATTCATCATGTACATCTTATTGAACGAGAAGATTCTTCTTCAGCCGAGTGGTCATTTTTTAAGTTTGATATAATCGGTAATATTCACTTGTATAAAGCTATTCTGTACTATCTGTGTTATCACTATATACGGTTTTTTTTCTATTGTTTTGTAATAATAAATATTTTTTCTATATTCAAGTGTTAAATTTGAGAACAAAGAAACGAAAAAAACCGAACAAAAAAAGTTTTATAATTTATAAAAAAAAAATTTACTACTTATTTTGTGACAAAGCGACGCAATCTCGATAAAGAAATAAAAAAAAACAACAACAAACAACAAGGATAAAAGTTACGAAAATCTATCGAAATTGTGCCATACTAATACGTAAACCCAAACATTCTTTTCCAATCTCAGTTGCCTAAAGAAACAAATTATCAGACACTATTCATTTTAGAATTATAATGAATATTAGCTTACTCTTGTGACACGACATAATTGTCCTTTAAATTCTGGTAAATAACAGGCACCACTCAACGGACATTTTGTTACCGGTTTTCCTCTAGAAGTATGAAAAAGAGCAGAATATATAATGTACTTATTTCTAATGCTTTTCTTACCTATAAATTGGTACGTAGGATGCTGCACAAATATCAAATGGATTATGTTCATCATAATTCATTGGTTGTTCATCAACCGGATTTTTCTCACATACACTAAGCACTTTACGAGTCTAAATAACCCGAAAACGAGAGATTAAAACAGATGTAACTAAGCTTCTCATCTGCAGAAAAGACAGAAAGCTCATCGATAAGCACACAGAGATGAAGGTGATAAGTTTTCTTTACAAAAATATGGCGTGATCAGTTGAAAGTATTTTTGTAATTAGAAAACGCGTGTAATATAACAACTAGAGGTTATAACAAAAATATTCCCAACAAGTAATCCTAGTCAATTCTTACTATGTCTAAATCAGCTTTATAGAAATTATTCTAAATGAAAAATCGGTGTATGTTAGTGCTTACTTGCTGTGCTACATCTGGTGTTGGTCCCAATTCTAATAATCTTTTAGCAAACGATGATGCAGTTTTATAATTTTTTAATTTAAATGCCTGATTTAAGGCTGATTTTAATGTCATAATTTTATGTACAGGCTGTAAATTACAATGTGTAAAATAGGCGGCCAATTCACATGAACGCTTTTCAACATTAGCACCTTGTAAATCTTTTTTAGCCATAGACATTTGTAAACCAATGATATATTCACGACAAATTTCAATAAGTTGTGTTGCTTCCGACACATCTTGTCTTGTGTCAACAATTAATAATGGTACAGATAATAAGATGGAACGAAATTTTTCAACAGCTTCACTAAATTTTCCATTGGTGGTTAAGCGATAAGCCAGTTGTAAACGCGATACTAATTCTTCTAGTTTAACACCAATAGATGGTAAATAGTTTTTAACCGTGGCATCACGCCTGAAATGAATAAAGATAAATGTGTTACAAAATATGATGAAAATCTGACTCACCAGTTTCTTAATGGATAAGCAAATATTGATGGTAACGATGGCAAGGCTGTGTACGCTGTTTTAGCTCTGGAGTATGTTTGAATAAATAATTGTTTATATTCTTCAAATTCGACAATACCAACTTGATCATTGAGAAGCTAAAATTAAGTCATCAATTTTATAGAATTTTTAGCATTGTTCAATAGCTTACTCTCATTGCTGATTCAAATGAGCCGGCCAGTATATGATCAACGGGTAGTTTTGAGTTATTAACCCAAAGTTGTGGTACAGATTGTCCTTTGGTTGGTGCAACAAAAAATCCTTCTTGATCATCGTCGGTACCCACATTTGCGCCCGCACTGGTATCCTAAACAAAAATACACATGTCATAAATAAAATCGGATATCCTCTCTCTCCTCTCTACTTACAAGATCAGCTGGTAAATCGAGATTGATATCATCACCCCAGCCTTCTCCTTTTTCATTTGTATCATCACCATTTGTTGCCGTCTCTCTATTTCCATCTTCATCGAGAAGCATTTCAGCGTCACCATCGGCCCAATCGCCACCAGTATTCACTGTTTCATCAACGGTTACATTTGGTGTAAAGGCTGTTTGCACTTGAGTAGTTAGACCGGCACCACTAGTTGATCCAGTTTGACCACTTTTGATCATTGCACCTTCAAAAAATCCCTTGGATATAGCTAATAATGGCCAATTTGATTCTTGCTGTGCAATTGGACATGGTGGTTGAAGTAATTCAGCTTTTGTATTTATTTCAGGTAACTAAAACAGACAAACTATTCTATATTGCTCATGGTGAATCTTTAAATTTTAACAGTTGCAGTGGATCCGAACCAAAGTTTCCCAGGGTTTAGATATCAATGTATAGAATTTTTTTTTCATTCACTTACAGTATCTTGACTTGTCTCCAACACTTGTTTTAGACTTTCAGCCTCTTCATCTAAACCATGCGTTGCAGCCATTACATATGCCATTGACTCTTAAACAACACAACACATTTACATATCCATTTTCTTATCATTAAATGTACGTACTTTGATTGCATTGTTTTAATAATTTCACTCTTTCGTCAACATCACCCAACAGCATAGCAATTTGAAATTGGCCACTAACATCTTTTCGGACTTCGGCTAAAAATAACACATTATTTGGTATAATTATCCCCACTACTCATATATGAAAACAAAGGCCATTTACTTCAAACATTCACTCCTGATCACTATATTTCAGTTCAGCCTTTTCTTTCTCTAGCACTTACCAATTTTCATCATTTTTCGTAATTTTTCTAAATTTCCAGTTATCAGATAAAGAAATGCTAATTTATCAAAATTTTTTGTTCGTTGATAGGACATTTCCACAATTTGATGATTGCCTTGCATCAACGCAGTTTCACCTAATTTTTCCCAACAACGTTTATCATCTAATGCTCGCGCTGCTTCTAATGCAATCTAAAACATACATAAAAAACACACATAGTCTCTTTTTTGCATCACAGTTCATTACTTACATCAATATTTCCACATTCTAATGCTAGACCAAATCTTGTTTTTTCATCTTTAACAAAATGTAGTGCCACTTCCGGATAACCTTTTTTTTGTAAATATGCAATTATACTTTGACCAACTAATTTTGCTGTGCGAACCATATGAAGTACCTAGCGCAAAAGTATTTAAATGTTTAATACAATGACAGAAAGAAAGTTTAAAGAAATTATACTTCATCATATTTTCTATTAACTAATGCTAATTTAAATTTAAATTCTGTAGGATCAATGGTTAATAAACGTGGTCGAACTTCACGATCCAAACAGAATACGCTATTTCCTTTTACTTTTGTGATATAAATTGGTAAGTCTAATGTACGAATTATACCATGATCACTAAAACACACAACTTATTAATAGTTATTATATTGTTCAGTGTTTATATTCAATTCTTACCCATTCAACAAGGCATATTTAATATGATTACTGGTAGTATAGATAAATACTCCACTATCATCCCATGCACCTGATTTCAATGGTACATTTTCTTGTATCATACATAATTGTTCTAATTTTCGATTGCATATAACTAGTTGATGTTTTGATAACAACGATACATAGGACATATCATTTGACCATATGGCATATTTTGCTTTTGTTATTCTGACCGATGCTAATGAACGTTTCTGTTGTGCATCATATAATGTGACATGATCTTGTTCACGAATTAATAGAAGACCAGTACCAGCATAAAATATTTCATCACAATTTGGTAATTGAATCTTTTTTGTTATCTCATTTTTATTATTTTTAATTAAAATCTTAATTAGAAGAAAATTCATTATTTATTTATAAAGACATGAAACACAAGATACTACGTACAACATGACTTTTATCCAGTACAGCAAAACGATTTCGTGCTACCCACACAGCATTTAAACCCGATGATCGTCTGCCCTCTGGTGCTACAAATTAAAGAAAAGTGAGTAGAGATTTAGAAAAAAAGACATAAACACTTTTACCATCTGGATTTTGTGATGTTGATTCAGAACTTTCTTTTGGTACAACATATAAATCATAAATACTATTGTCTAACTGGGATGGAACACGAGTTGTTAACAATATAGCATTTTCAGCTGGATTATATGACATGGAAAAATAGGGAGCGCGTGGACCACTTTAAAAGAAAAGAATAAATGTAAAATCTTTCTTAGCGGATAGGTATGTTTTTACCTTCTTAACGTCATTAATGGTACATCTTTAGATGTGACAATTTCTAATTTTCTCAAATGTTTATCTTTGACATAATAAACAATATTGCCCACAACAGCATACACTGGTCGTTCACGTTCCAGTTTAAATACAACCATTCCATTATCATGACCTAAAAATTAAGTACAATTGAATCGAAGATAGAAAAATAACATAGATAAACAAACCAGCAGCGAATAAATTCAATGTCGGATGCATTGCCAATACCCAGAAGCGATCATTTTCACGTCGAAATGTATTTATAGCAACTCTAAATATAAAAATATAACAAGTATTCAACGGTATAACGAACGAATGAAAACTATTTACCGCTTTGTCATATCCCAAACACGAATTGATTTATCTTCTCCGTTACTTAATATAAGATCTTGTCTTGGATGGAATATGACACATGACACATTATTATAATGTCCACGACATGTATCGACTTCCCATGCCTTACTTTCTAGAGAGAGAAAAAAAAAGCGCCGTCAAAAATGTTAAATCCACGTTGATTAGACCATCTTCATTAGACTTACCGTTCATTCGCCATAATTTCACTACTCTATCATCAGCTGCTGTTACAATTAAGGGCAATGTTGAATGAAATGTGGCCCAGTTCACACCACGATCATGACCTTCTAATACATGTTTAACAACAGCATCAGCTTGTCCAAATAAATCGGGTGTGCCAGTTGTACGTTGAATTTGAGATTGAATTGTATCAGGAGAGGAATAAACATTTTTCTTTCTTAAACCTGTAATTAGTCTCAGTCAAACGACGAACATATGAGTAATACTAACATTACCGGATATATCCCACACACGAACCGTTTGATCTAATGATGCTGATACAACTAGATCTTCACTTGGATGAAATTGTGCACACATCACGTAATGATTATGACCAGTCATAACACTAGAGTACAGAGAACAATTGATATCTGATATTAATGTGTATATAAATACGTACCATACACACTGTCTCGATTGCCAATTCCATATTCGAATTGTTTGATCGTCCGATGCACTAATGATCCACGGATATTCATGATGAAAAAACGTTGTACGGATATAATCAAGATGACCCAATAATGTAAATAAACACCGACGTTGCTTATAATTCCAAACCTTAAAGACACAATAGACACTTTTTTTTCTAGACTTTCACACACACTTAGCCAGCCTACTTTTATTTTATAATCATCGCCACCGGACACAAACAATGGTTGAGCATTGTGAAAATGAATACCACGAACAGGACCTAGAAGTAGAAGAACACTTGATTTTGTCTAGATTTATTAAAATAGTTCTGGATGTTTACCATCGTGTTCATCAAATTTATCTAATAATGTTTTCATTCGATAGTCCCATAACTGTATGACACCACTATGTAGCGATGCTAACACCCAAGAACGTTTTGGATGAAATGTTAGACCTTTAAATAGACATAATTCAAGCAGTGATATTAGATTAACAAACAACTAACGAGGGAATCTCTCCAGGTACCCAATTTTTCCCCGAAAGATAGTTGATTATAGCTTAGCGATGGTGCTAATTCCGAGTACTATAGTCATTTGGGCTCTTATTAAGTTTTCTAGAAAAGCTTAGTTTTCCGGAAATCCCAGAATCTAAAATATTTTTTGAAGCTGTTTGAAGTGTGCCGTCTTCTAAGGCATATCAAACTGTACATGTCAACGACTTTTTAGCTTTACCAAGTTTGTTTTACCAGAGTTATGAATTTTTGAATTTCAACTGGTAGTAACCATATGTAGCAAACTGTTCATTTTTGAAAAAAGTCTAACGCCTTTAAAACATGTCCGCGCAAGCTTAAAAATCGTGGACATATGCGGTTCTACGTTTTGGCTCATTCAGAAATCGACTTGAACGAAAAAAGAGTTTTTAAGCTCCAAAAATCTAGGTCACTCATTTCAGTTTTCGAGCTAAAAACCTAATAAGGGTTCAAACCATTATCATATTCGAAATTAGTACCTCCGATTACACATATTCAACTGTATTTCGGAAAAAACGGCGTTTGGAGAGATTCCTCCGTAAGTAATAGTTACCTTTCACACGAGCCGATTTACTTTCAAATTTAGTCAACATTCTAAAACAATAATACTGTCTTTATCTAAAATAGAAATTTTGTTAAGATTTCATTTCCTCTCTCGGATTCTTCCAGGATTCCCTTCTAATATTTGGTATAATAAATCTGTGGCTACGAATTTCAATGGTACCTAAATTTCAAAAGATCAATGATCAAAACCCTTCTACAGAGGCTATATTTTGTGCTAACTCCAGTGATTCGATCAAGGACTACTTTAGATTCATTGACTAAAATTCCAGCTAGATAATGGCAAATATAAAAGAAGAAAATACAACATGTTACTGTTCATTTTTTTCCATTAAAAATTGCTAGAAAAAGCAATAGGAATGTATATATACACGTATAAAAAACTGTCCGAAAAAAATGTCGACGGATTATTCATCATCATCACAAAAATGGAATGGAATAAAATTCTATAATAATAAATGTGAGTATAAAAAAAACGAAAACTACAAATATATCGTCTAATTATGAAAATGATATAAAAAAATATTTATATAAAAACGAAACGACCAAAAAAACTGTTCAATTGAAACACTGCAATGTAAAAACTTATTTACAAATATTGTTCACACAAACAGTACAGACTAATCTGAGGAAAAAAGCAGAGAGAAAAGGTGAGATTTTTATAAAACAAAAAATAGTGTTGATACTAATACACCTGTAACTATAATGACAAATGATGTTCTGAAGTGTGTGCCAGATGCATAATAAAATAAAAATTCATCAATATCTAACCAAGGATTACGACCATCATCGTAACGAATTGGACAATCATCATCTAATAAAAAAAATAAGAAAACTTTATTGATAACTAACATGAGCTTGTTAGTGTGAAAACTTCATAGCTGCAACATAGATAAGAAGAAATAACATAAAGAACTTGGACTTTATTTAATAATGAAGTATAACACAGATGGAGAAATGCCTATTACTAAAAAGTGCCTATTGTAGTGACAATGAGCAATGCTGTTACAGTCCTGTTACAATAGAATTATCACCATCTATATAAACTTTTTAATTGCATTCATCATAATTGATTATGCCCACGTAAACGTCCTCCGCAATCACCACTATCCACTGCATATATCGACGCAATTTGATCAATTATATCAAACTTTAGCTGATTGAAAAGATATGTACAACTGATACACAAAAGTTCGTGTAAGCGAAACCGACATAAACTATAATATGCTGAGCTTGGACGGTAGGTCTTCTTCTGAAAATAACCATTGGGAAGTGTCTAGCCGATATAGACACGCCTTTTAGTCGATGTAAACACACATCATGCAGAAAATAAAGACGATGTAAACACCAAAGGGGACCCTTATCTAGAGCTCTAGTCGACTCATTTCTACTTCGAGGATCTCTCTTTTAACTTCAAACTTCCATTTCTTTCGGAAATCGGACTAGCCCATACAAGTTTCCTCAAAAAATGAAGATTCTATATAGGGAGCAATAGAAAATGGAGATAAATATCTTACACACAAGTTCTCGATAGCATTCATGAAATGAAGAATTTTAGACATGTTTAAAATTCTTTTGCATTAGTAAATTTGTGTAAGTTAACTTACGTATTCTTTCTGCTTCATCTAGTTGGATAAAAAGATCAGCTCCGTCTTCTCCCTTGTAACTATCAGATGTTTGATTAAAACCACACGCCGAACCGGCTGAACGTGATAAATAAATTTTGAATAAATCCATTCGTTCGTAAACCCAACATTTATAGTTGATATAAGGATCATCACGATCATAAGTGATCAAATAGGATCGACTATCTTCACGCCAATAACCAGCACATTGATAAATATAATCGGGCATTTCATACACACCAATAGGTGTTCCATATGGATCTAGTTGTCGACAATATTCACGATCAGCAAACATACTCTTCGTTTGATCACCACAAATTGTCCACTGAGATACCATGTATTTTGGATCACATGTAATGTACCAGCCATGATCACGAGGGCGAGGAGTTACACCACCTCTAATTCTTGTATTAATTAAACTGTTTGGTTGACCAACTTGTTTAAACGTCCACATACCTACACGGTAAAAAATCAAAAGGTTTAACAATGCAAAATTACGGTAAAAAACTGAGTTGAATCTTACCTGTAAATGGACACTCAACAGGTGCTGGCGGATCAAGAACAAATACTTGATATTTCCAATTAGCATCATTTCCAAAACTTGTCCATGCACATACTTCGAATAGTGGATCACGTTTTGATAGATCGTCATAGACGTTTGACATGAATGATTTACTTTTTCGATATCGTAATATATTATGGTGTCGATCTTTGAAGTCAAAACAAATATAATATGGAAAACATTCTCCTTTTGTAACAGTTTTCACAAGAAACTGATTACGAGTGATCTGTTGACAAACATAATATGTTTCTCGAAGCCAACCACGATTGTTTACTTGTGATATTTCGTGAATATGTGTCGAGTTGATAATAACTTTGGCGTTAACATTTGCCGTATTTATCCATTCACCTGTGAAATTATCAGGAAAGAAACATGTTGGCGTTGGAACTTCGGGTACAACTGGCGTAATAATCACTTTTTCTGGACCATCCGTAGGACTGTACAAACGTGAACATTCAGCAAACAATGACTTTGCAAACCATTGTGGTTGATCTTGTCTTGTTAACATACAACGAAATTTATCATACCATCGTTCAGAACCCACTCTTTCATTGGCAATTGCAGTATAAATATCTTGATTTTCATTTATCCAATAGCCAAGGCATTGGTATAATGGTTGAGCATCAATTGAACTAACTAAATCTTTGCAATAACCATATGTCATCCAAAAACGTTCATTAACGGCTTCGAAAGGCGTACCGGGATCGGGACACGAGACTAAACGTGAAGCTGGATTATCACAGATACCAATACCTCCTTCACGAAATTCATATGTAAAATGAAATGTTCCGTAAATCGTTGCACGACATTCTTCAGCCGAAAATGTTTTCACTAAAACGAATAAACAATAGATAGAACAACAGAAAATTCAACTCTTAATTATACTTACAAAAGAGTGTATCAAAATCAGCTTCTTGATTAATACTTGCACATAAATCTTGAAAATTCATTGTATTTGTTAGTAATGATGTTATCTCATCACATTCACCTAAAAAACAGAACAATTTCCAACATTATATAGTGCATAATAGAATTTATTAAATCTTAATATATACTTTTTCTAATTTGTAAAATATTTCGTGTACGATTATAAATTTCAAAACATTGAAAACAAGATTTTTCTCTAAAATAAAATAGACAAATAAAATTTCAAAGTTTTATAGAATTTGTTTATAATATACTTGTCCTGATAGATAAGTTCATAATGCCATTTTGATACGTGTTGAAATGGATTTGATATATAATTAATTTGATAACATCCTCCAATTGCGGCACTATCTAACACGGTTATAATGCCTGCTTGTGCACCAAGCCCCGATTGTCGACGATAGAATCGTCGCTCAATATCACCATTATCTTTAAATGAACTATGTGTTTCTAAACCATTTTCATACGAATAATATTCACCTAATACTGGACGATCAAATATACATTGAGATAGACTACCTAAATGTGACAAACACAAAAATAATAATTAGCATTTTTTTGTATCAAATGCATTTCAACTTACTAGAGTGTTTTATAATTTGTATTGTAAAAAAAATAACTACTGTAGAAATAGGATGGATCATTGATATTAAGAAAAAAATCTAAAACAGATCAATTTGAACTACTTCATCCATATTTTACCCAATTTTGTCTACGTGTGAGAAGAACACGTCTTTCTTTTTTTATTTCTCGACGTGTGCATACACGTAAACCATACGTGAAGTTTTTTTTTCTCCTGTTCTGTTATGAATCATAAAGAAAAACGAAAAAAAAACAAAATTAATAAAACGTTCGATTCCGGTCAAGGTTGTACATAGCAATAATTATTTTAATATAAAATGTTGAATTTTTCTTCATAAATCTTTACATAGTACTATTAACTGACGAAATGTACTCCATGTAAAAATTCCAAAACTTTATCAATAGATGTTAGGAAACATTTTATTCAATTTTGTGACACAAATGGGAAATTCAAGCAAACAGATAGTTACTTTTCATTTATTATAGATGGAAAAGGCAACTATGTCTATCAACAAATAAACAGAGAACAAGTTGTCGCTATGGTTAACAAACTATCTTGAAAGTATTTCGGCAACTTCTTAACTTAGCAAACTTTTATATTTCAACTTTCTCTGATATTTTTCTAGTGTGATGCGACGAGAAGCTTTAGAAATGTTAACTCGAACGTTATGGAGTCGCTTTGTTTGTAATTGTAAGCAGGTGAGAGTAAAAAATAAAACATGTATGTTTCCTAGTTTGTAGACTAAGGAAAAATTTTCATCTAAAAAATAGCATTCGCTAAATCTAGTATAAAAAACGGTAAAAATTGTACAAAAAATGTATATATCAGACCAATATAAATGGAATATGTCTTAAAAAAGACATTGTATCGAATTAGCAACAAACAAATGTTTATCTGAAATATTGCACCAAAAAAAAAATGGAATGTATAAACAAAACAATTCGTATATACATAATAACAGATCAAAAACGGAAATTTACAAAAAATATTTACAATAATGTTAAACATGATAATGATGAAAATGCCAATATAAACGATGATAATTTGAACATTGGAGGACCAGCCGCATAATAAAAATTAAATCCTTCTAAATCCAAAAATATATTACGACCATCATCATAACGAATTGGACAATCATCGTCTAAATAAAGAAAAAATGTAAGTTTGCCATTTATAATTGCGTATTCATTTATTTTCACTTACGTATTCTTTCTGATTCTTTCAACAGAATATTTAAATCTGCTCCATCTTCTGGACGATAACTTGTTGATGTTTGTTTTGCCCCACATGCCGAACCGGCTGAACGAGATAATGTTACTTCATCTAAATTTGTTCGCTCATAGACCCAACATTTATAATTGATAAATGGATCATCACGATCATATGTGATCAAAATTGAACGACTGTCTTCACGCCAATAACCAGCACATTGATAAATATAATCGGGCATTTCATACACACCAATAGGTGTTCCATATGGATCTAGTTGTCGACAATATTCACGATCAACAAACATACTCTTTGTTTGATCACCACAAATTGTCCACTGAGATACCATGTATTTTGGATCACATGTAATGTACCAGCCATGATCACGAGGTCGAGGAGTTACACCACCACGAATACGCGTTTTAATCAAACTATTTTCTTGACCAATTTGTTTAAACGTCCACATACCTACAAAAAGGAATAATTAGTATATTAATGAAACATAGAAAGAATAGTTTATGTACCAGTAAATGGACATTCAATTGGCGCTGGCGGATCAAGAACAAATACTTGATATTTCCAATTAGCATCATTTCCAAAACTTGTCCATGCACATACTTCAAAGAATGGATCACGTTTTGAAAATTCACGATAAATATCAGTCATAAACGATTTACTCTTTCGATATCGTAATATATTATGATGTCGATCTTTGAAGTCAAAACAAATATAATACGAGAAACATTCTCCTTTTGTAACAGCTTGAACTAAAAATTGACTACGACTAGTTTGTTGACAAACATAATATGTTTCCCGAAGCCAACCACGATTATTTACTTTGACTATTTCATGAATGTGTGTTGAATTAACAATAACTCGTGAGTTTATATTTGCTGTGTTAATCCATTCACCGGTAAAATTTCCGGGGAAAAAACATTTTGGTGTTGGTTCTTCCGGTACTGTTGGTGTAATGATAATTTTTTCTGGACCATCCGTAGGACTGTACAAACGTGAACATTCGGCAAATTGTGATTTAACAAACCATTGTGGTTGATCTTGCCTTGTCAACATACAACGAAATTTATTATATAATGTTTCGGAGCCAACTCGTTCATTGGCGATAGCCGTAAATACATTGCCATCTTCTGTTGTCCAACTTCCCAAACATTGAAATAATTGATTAGCATCAAATGAACTTGTAATATGTTTACAATAACCATATGTCATCCAAAAACGTTCATTAATAGCTGCAAACGGTGTACCAGGATCCGGACAAGATTGTAAACGAGACTGAACATGATCACAAATGCCAATACCACCTTCACGAAATTCATAGGTAAAATGAAATGTTCCGTAAATCGTTGCTCGACATTCTTCAGCGGAATATTTACGCACTAGAGTAAAAAAAAGTAAAGAAATAGTTATGATTAAGACACAAAATTTGCTATACTAGAAATAATCAATATTTGTTAGTCGATTCTATTTTCTATTATATCAGATCGTTTGTACCCTATGGATGCTATACACAACTCATCTTTTAATTGTTGAACAATTTTATTTGTTCGTAGAAATTACAAATATTTTAAACTCACGAAATAATGTTGTAAATTCGGCTTGATCATTAATATTTCTACATAAATCGTCAAAATCCATTTGGTTAGTAAGTAACGATGTTATTTCATCACACGAACCTTGAAAAATAAAATTAATATTCAAGTAGTTCTTTCTACTCGATTTTAAAAGAGAAATGGTGGAGCAAGTCAGAAGTTGTACAGGTGAATTTCTTGAGAAAAATGAAGGATAAATTGATTTTTCTTGAGGAAGACCATTTTTAATTAATTTAAATTAAATTAATACTAAAGTCAAGTATTTTTTCTACTAATAACCATAGAATTTTTTACTTTTATCTATTTTGACATACTGCTAGCAAAAACGAGTACGGGTAATTTAGGGATGAATCGATGTTTAACTCTTGTTTATCACATATATGCTTTTAGTAAACAGAGAAACAGGAGTCAAAGGTACCAAAGATATAGCGATTACATGAGAAATTCAAAGAAATATATCCTTAAAGTTGTAGGGGTCATTCATCATATTATCCCTACGCATTTTTACATTCTAGAATCCTCAGGGGTACTGTCTCCACCATCCTTACGATTCGGCTGCCTCTGATTTTAAAATTGAGATAACATACTTTTTCTTATTTGTAAAATATTTCTTGTACGATTAAACAAATGATAACATTGAAAACAAGACTTTTGTCTAGAAGAGAAGAAGATTAGTTGTTAGTTAAAATCGTTTGTATACATACATACTTGTCTTTATAAATTAATTGATAATACGCTTTCGATGGATGTTGTGTGGGTGATGATTTATAATTAATTTGATGACATTCACCTAAATCGGAACTTTCTAATAATGGACCTGTTTTTTGTGATGCACCAGCACCCGATTCTCGACGATACATTTTTCGTTCGAAATCACCATTATCAACAAATCTTGTAAATGTTTCTAGACCACTTTCCGTTGAATAATATTCACCCAGGATTTGATGGGGATAGAAACATCGAGCTAAACAGTCTAAATAACAAGAAGAACATAGCGTTATATCATATCAAGATTTGTGCATGTTTTTTGTACCCTACCAGCATTGTGAACAAGTAAAAAGCAAACAAAGAAAATTGAGAAAGAGAGGTGATTATTCATCTAGAACAACAAAGATTAGACTATCAGACAAACTCCGATACAGTACTTCCCTAAACAAACTTTCAAACGAAACAAACAATTGATTCACTGGATGCAATGTAGACGAAGGATGTTCCTCAATTAATTCACTGGATGCAACACCCCGAAAAGAAAACATCCATTCATTGGAATCACCAAGTCAACACATCAATACTAGTCAACTCATTTGGAAGCAACTAAACTTTCTCAATTTTTAATTACTTTATGTCAAATACATATGACAATAACAACAATAACAAAGACAAGCAAAGGAAAAACAAGTAACTTTCATGCATTCGTGTTGTTGTTGTTAAAAATTGAGAAAAGAATATCGATAGAAAGTTATAAATACAAATATGAATACACAAAACATTGAAAATTCTAAACACATTTTGACAAATATCTTAAATTAATCATCGTTATATTATCGTCTAATGACGAATTTTCATGTAATTTAACAACACCATCTTGATAATCGACGCTCAATAAATCACCCAATGCACCTTTATAATCTCCACCAATTACACACACCTGAATGTAGAATGCAAATGAAAAAATTCCAAAGCAGGAAGCTTGAAAAGAATATTCTCGCATCACAATCAACAAACTTCAGAAACTAAAAAAGGCTTTTAATGAGAATTTTTCATTTATCAAAATTTAGAATGTTTCAAGTAAAGATGTTATTGATTTGATAGCTGGACACAAGCTCGTTAAGACACACAACAACTCTGTTAGCTGACGTTAATCAAGCGGCAAAAGAAAGTTTCACAACTGCGTGCACAATACCGAAGCCCATACAAATCAGACAATGTAAAGAAACATACTTTATCATTTTGTTTTGGGATCACGGGTTCAATACGATCTAATAGGATCGCCACTTTTTTATCTAATTTTTCTACATGAATTGTACACATATTGCCCTAAAGAATAAGAAACATTGGTAACTATTCATATGTAATTCTGCAGTAAAAATAATACACATGTTATTGTCGCTTTTTCAGCAGTGAAAAAAATCCTTTGAATTTATTGAAAGGCGAGTTTTCCATCAACAGAAAGAAATAAAATGTGAATCTGTCAAATATTTTTGCCTATCTATAAACAGAAGCTAAGTTTCAATTGTTGTTTACTTACAGTTATACTTTGTATAACACCTGTCGAACCAGCTGCTATGTCATCATAGTGATCTTTTAAACGAACAACTAAGCCTTCTGTATGCCAATCGTTTGAATATGCGTCAAACTCTAATCAAACAAACAAGCAAAAGATAGAGAGTAACATTCAAAACAAATTATGATAGTTTGTTTTCTGATTAGCTTACCGACTCCAGTTGGGATCGGCGTATATTGAGCACTTGGTGTTACGGGTGTCATGTTAATAGAGGGAGAATAAACATAATTTGCTGGTGATTGATCGGGGGCACGATAAGAGTCGGAACCAGGCGTCGGTATATGGCTACTGTAAGCTGAAATAATATGTTTTAGATTTTGTTACCATGATTTTGTTGAGAAGAATATTTCAGTCTTTTAACTTACGTTGATAATCGATTCCTGGTGATTGTGTGGCATGTGGATTATAAGGTGAAAATGTATTTTGATTTATAGATGATACACTAGCAGCACCTGTCGATGGTATATTTGTATCAATATGAGAATAACTTGGTGTGGTTGGATTTAAATTTTGATATGGACTAGGCTCATCGTCATCATAATCAACTCTAAAATTCATAGAAACACATATTAAGAAGGTTATTTCATTTTTAAACTTAATAACTTTTTCATAAGTTACAATTGCTCTTACCTCGGTGTTGCTGCGTAACTTGGATCCCAAGCTGACGCTCCACCACCGCCACCCGGTGTCATGCTTCCATCGTGCCGTGGTGTCATGTTTCCATAATGTGGCGTTCGACTTCCATCATAATGAGGTGTACCGCTACCAAGCATTGGGGTTCGGGACCCGTACAATGGTGTTTGCGCTCCAAATGCATTGTAACCAGGTGTTTGAGAGCCATGCAATGGAGTGGCTGTTTGATATGATGACACATCACCACTGTTCGCCAATAAACTAAATATACAAAAATAAATAAAAAATATAAATAATATAAGAAAAATCAAAATACATACACAATAATACGGTTTTTATCGACTGTTATTGTCTGACATTTTGCATGTAATTCAATTTTACATGTGGACTCTGTAGCATCTTTAACTATCCCAACATAACCTAAAAAATGA